TCAATTTAAAAATTATAAAATCGAAAGAAATATTGAAAAAAATAAAGGAAAAATTGTGATATGAAATCACGAAAATGAAACTAAAAAAATCGAGAGAATGAAAAACAAAAATCAAGAACTTCAAAAACTGAGGAAACGACAAAGTGAAAAATTTAAAATTAAAAATTGTAAAATTGAAAAATTGAAAAACTGAAAATGAAAGAAAATGAAAAAACGAAAAATTGTGACACGTATGGAAAATTTAAAACCCAAGAAAAAGGAAAAACCAAAAATTCTAATATCAAAAAATTGGTCGAAGATTATTTCGACAGAACTGCTCTTGCGTCGATATTTTTTTTCCTGTGGGTTGAGCTACCTATCAGGCGCGTCCCCAGGGTTGCGGATAGGGGGAGACCGGCATTGTCTGGGGAAGGGGGTCTGGGGAAGGCGGATATGCCCCCGGGAACTAAACACTCCTGGGGGTGGTGGAAGTCCGACCTGGATTTTTCCCTTCTCCAGATATGTAGGTTAGGGCTGAGGCTCGTCTTGCCTGGACATGCCTTGGTGGTTGTCGGCTTAGACGGCCGCGAAGGCGGTTCAGTAGAGGAGGGCTGGAAATAAACGTGCCCCCCCGGGATTAAACCCCTGGTGTGGGGTCGTCAAAACAGCCCCGCGGACAAGCTCCCGCGTGTTTGTGCCGTGCGTGGAGACCCGTAAGGTGGGATGAAGGAATCCTGGAGGTTGAGCCCCCCTTTGTGCAGTGTGTCACCAAGGCTGGGCAACACGCCTCTTTGGCCTGGATTTCCACCAAAACGGGAGGTCGAGACTAACCCATCTCAGATCAATCGGCTGTGTCGTCGGGTCAGACCGCCGACAGGGTGAGTCCTTGGGGGAAGTGTAGTCTGAGCACGAGTAGCCTCACTAGTTGAGGCTGCGTACTGCAGGATGAGCTTCCCTGGGGGCTATATCCTTCTGCTAGCCCTGACGTCGAAGTTCGGCGTCCCCTTGTTGGACTCCGTGGTGGGTGGGGACGCAGGAGGACGAAATCAAAATCCAGATTATGGAAATCGACACTAAAAAAACCACTGAGGAAGTGCCTTCGGGTGCACCTCAAACAGAAAACCCAGCCAATGTGGGTTCGCAGCCTCCTAGGAGGAAGCGAATCTGCGGGGCTGAGGTAAAAAGGCGGAGGAAGGCTCGTTTGCAGGCGGAGGCGGCGAATACCGACCCGCCGAAACCGGGTCCATCCTCCTCCGGGATAAACCCCAAGGGTAAAGGGCAGGCTACGATAGCCAACCCTAAACAAACCGCGGGGAAAAAGACCTCAGGGTCAAAGAAGAGAGTGAGGTCTTCAACCTCCACACCTCCGGCAGCTGAGAAGCAAAAGAGGATGAGGAGGCAGGAGACTACCTCTAGAGAACAGAGCTACAGGGAGGCGGCTGCAAGTCATCTCCGTGTAGCTGTGATTGATGTGCAGCATCCACTTGGTAAGCTGACTGCTGGCCAGGTGGAGATAGTACAAAAGGGCCTGATGGGAGCGCTGGACAGGCAACTGGACCAGTGCTTGGCATCGGGTAGACAAGCAGCCACTTTCAGGGGCATGAAGTACACAGGGGAAGTCCTAAGGATAACCTGTGAAGACGAGTTGTCCCTGAAATGGCTACAACAAACAGTGCGCTCCCTAACACCCTTGTGGGAGGGCGCACAACTTAACGTGGTCCCCTTGGCTGAGCTACCAAGGCTGGTGAGGGCGACCCTGTGGATACCGGGACCACCGGTGGATGCAGGAGTCGTACTTCGCCGCCTGGAGGGTCAGAACCAATGGGCCCACGTCAAAAAATGGCTTCTTTTCCATCGCGAGGCCAAACCCGAGGCTGCCTCTCCAGGCAACCTCTTTGTGTTTGGTCTTGGGATGGAAGAGGCCAAGATAATCAGGGAGAGAGAGGGCAGAATCAATTATATGCTGTCCTCTTTCAACCTGAAACTCAAGGAGAACGAGGCGTCGGCTCAGGAAGGGCAGACCCCTATGGAAGAGGTAGAAACCCCAGGGGAGGAAGCCTCTACCAGTGGGGGCAGGCCCGCCTGAGACATGTGCCTCGTGTCTCCTAGGACAATTATGGGATTTTTGGTTGCAGAGATGGCGCTGCAGCAGATAAATTTCATTCAGATTAACCTGCAGCATTGTCGCATGGCGACGACTGTTTTGTGTCGTCGTCTAGACAAGATGCAGAACACTATAGCAATAATCCAAGAACCATGGATTGTAAAATCCAGGATCGCAGGGTTGAGCAATTTAAATGGCACTGTTGTTTCAGGTACCACAATAGAATCTCCAAGGACATGCGTCTACATTCCGAGGAAAATTAAAGCCGTTCTCCTACCTCAGGTCAGCTCCAGGGATGTGACTGCGGTAAATGTTAAGTGTAACATAGGTAGAGGCGAAGAGCAACTGGTAATAGCATCCGTGTACTTACCACAGGGAGCACAGGAACCATGTCCGACATGGGAAATGGCGAACTTGGTGGAACACTGTGATACCGGAAATATAAACCTCATCATCGGTGCCGATGCAAATGCCCACTGTCTGTTGTGGGGGAGCAAAGACACTAATGATAGAGGAAGAACACTAGCTGAATATCTTTTATCAACAAATCTAGAGATTCTCAACCGAGGCTGCGAACCAACTTTCGTAACATCACGTAGTCAGTCAGTAATAGATATTACACTGGCTACATGGGATATCTCACAATATATAATGGGATGGCACGTCTCTAAAGAGGCGTCAGTGTCAGACCATAGATGGATCATGTATACATCAAAATGTATAGACATGGAGATAAAGACGTACAGGAACCCTAGGCTGACGAACTGGGCTTTATACAACGAAGAACTGGACGACAGACTGGGGACCTCCGTGCAGTCTATACCAACAGAATACAGTTCGACAGAAGACATAGAGAAAACCTTGACCATTATCAATGACTCTCTAATGTCAGCGTATGAGAAAAGTAGCCCCCTAAAGAAGGAAGGTCTGGGCAAAGGTACACCATGGTGGAACCAAAGGCTCAGCCTACTTCAATCGGGGCTAAGAAAACTTTTCAATAGAGCAAAAAACACTAAGAAAACTGAAGACTGGGAAGCCTATAAAGAGCACCGGAAAGAGTTTAAGAAAGAATTAAGAAAGAGGAAACGGGAAACGTGGAGATCCTTCTGCAGCGACATAACGTCGACTGCTTCGGCCGCAAGGCTGAAGAGAGTTCTCTCGAAGGACCACACACATCAACTAGGTTTCCTAAAGAAAGAAGATGGCACCTTTACAGCCACCTTAGAAGAGTCCGCAGAACTTTTGCTGCAGACCATGTTTCCAGGCAGCACACGGACTACCTCCCATTCCAAAAGGGATGTAGTCGGTACTCAACCTTCCCCGAAGGACTGGGCGCTGGCTGCAAAGGTAGTCACGGAGGCAAGACTGGAGTGGGCAGTGGACAGCTTTTCCCCATACAAATCTCCAGGAGTTGACGGTATTTATCCCGCCCTCCTGCAGAGGGGAATGAGCAGACTACGCCCTATTTTGTTGCCAATGGTTCGGGCGTGTCTGGCTTTCAGCTACATACCGAATGCATGGCGAAAAGTAAAGGTTATCTTTATACCTAAGCCAGGACGACAAGATTACACCTTGGCTAAATCCTACAGACCAATTAGCTTAACATCATTCTTGCTGAAAACGCTAGAAAGACTAAGCGAAAAAGAGATTCGGGAGACTGCTTTGAGCAAGCAACCTCTACATCCGAACCAACATGCCTACATCCAAGGAAGATCCACCGATACGGCCTTACACACAGTTGTAAACCGTATAGAGTGGGCGATGGAGAACAAACTCTTCACCTTAGGAATGTTTTTGGATATTGAAGGAGCGTTTGATAAAACGACCTTCAAAAGCATAGAACTAGCCCTACGAAAGCACGACGTGGACCCCACCCTAAGTAGGTGGGTGGCCAGTATGCTGAGGAATAGGGAAGTAATGATTAATGTAGGTGGCACTGAGATCGAGGCTGTTGTAGACAGGGGATGTCCTCAGGGAGGAGTTCTCTCTCCTGTACTGTGGGATACTGTCGTTGACAGCCTGATACGACGCCTCAATGATCTTGGCTACCACACAATTGGATACGCGGACGATCTGGTCATTCTGCTAACAGGAAAAAACGCAGATACATTATGTGAGATAATGCAAGCTGCAGTAAAAATAGTCGAGGAATGGTGCAACAGACATACCCTCTCCGTTAACGGAGAAAAGACGAAACTAATCCTGTTCACCAGGAAAAGGAAAATTGGCACACTACAGATGCCAAAAATATTTAACACAACGCTTCAACTTTCGGACGAAGTCAAATACCTGGGAGTTGTATTGGACTGGCGACTGAATTGGAAGAAGCATGTAGATGATAAAGTAGAAAAGGCACGCTCGGCTCTTTGGCAATGTCGTAGGGTGGTGGGAAGGTCGTGGGGTTTAAATCCCAAGATCGCCCTCTGGATCTACACGGCAATAGTCAGACCGATGCTGTGCTATGGAGCTTTAGTTTGGTGGCCCAGAGCCAGACAAAAAACAACAGCCCTGCAACTTGAACACGTTCAGAGAATGGCGTGTCTCAGTGTTACAGGAGCAATGAAGACCACTCCCACAGCGGCTCTGGAGACTCTCCTTTGCTTAGCACCTCTTAACCTTTACATAGAGGAAGCGGCAATGACGACGTCTCTAAGACTTCACTCTCTGGGAGTATGGAACAAGCAAGGCCGCACAACGAAGCACACTCGGATCTTAACGGAGGCGTTCAACAGAATACCCTTGTTGAGGATGGGTTGTGACCGAATGGGCACAAAATTAATATATGAGAAGACATATAGAATATCAATGAATGATAATTCAGAAGGACGAGCCGACATAGATATCTATGTCGATGGTGCCAAAACAGATAGTGGTTCAGGACCCGGCATCTACTCCGAACAACTGAACGCACAAATCAGTGTACCTCTCGGCACCCACACGTCTGTCTTACAAACAGAACTGATGGGAATAATGCTGGGAGCTAGAATCATTGCTGAACGTGAAATCGGCAACAAATCAATACGCATACTTACTGACAGCAAGTCTGCACTACTAGCCCTGGACAGCTGTATGGTTCGATCCGGGCTGGTTTGGGAGTGCAGACAAACGCTAAAGTATGTAACGCAGAGGAATAGTGTGGAACTTTGTTGGATCAAAGGACACAGTGGCAACGAAGGAAACGAGAGGGCAGATGAGATGGCGAAGCGAGCCGCGCGCATGCCCTTCTGGGGACCCGAACCGGCAATCACGCCTTCGGTCGCCCTCTCGAACGAACTCGTAAAGCAATATACCCATAGACGCCATGAGCAGATATGGGCGACGTTGAGCAGCTGTCGGCATAGTAGAGCTTGTATGGCGACACCAGACCGTAAGTTGACAAAATTTTATCTCTCACTTTCAAGGGACAAACTGCGTAAACTGGTAGGATTCCTTACGGGACATTACCAGTTTAACAAACATCTACATACGATAGGGGTAGTAACAGACCCAATCTGTCGTGGATGCAATGAAGAAGAGGAAACAGCTGAGCACATTCTTCGTGAGTGTCCAGCCCTAGCCTCCTACAGGGAATCCATACTAGGGGACATCTGGCCTAGTATGGCAAATATCAGGGAGTTTCCACCCTCTGCATTACTCAAGTACATTCAAGCAGTTGGATGGCTTGACGAGTAGAGGAGCGGGAAAACACCCTGATATGGACTTGGGGAAGGTACAATGGGCCCAAAGGCGAGGCCTAAGTGCCGGCTGGCTGCGGTCAGCCCCCATAAATTAAAAATCCAGAATCCAGAATCCAGCGTCGATATTTTGAATTTTTCAATTTTTCAAAATTTTCTTCAGTTTTTCGATTTACAATTTTTCGAGTTTTCAAGATTAAAATTTTCGATTCTCCAAATTTAGATTTTTTCAATTTTTATAGTTTTCGGTTCTTTATTATTCGTCACTTATTCGATTTTTCAGTTTCTCGTTTCTTCAAGTTTTCAATTTGCAATTTTACAATTTTTCATTGTTTTGTGTTTTCATTTTCAAGATATGCGACTCCTCGAATTTCATTTTTAAAATTTTCAATTTTTTTCGATTTTCTAATTGTTGGATGATTCAGTTTTCAGATTTTCCAATTTTTCTATTTCCAGTTTTTCGAGTTTTCAATTTTTAATTTCTCACTTTTTGGATTTATCTATTTTTCGTTTCTTCAATTTTTTAATTTTTAATTTGTTTGGTTAGTACTTGCTAAGATAAGATTGATTTTAGCAAATCACATATCCTCTAAAATGATAGAGAGCGGGTGGGCGGGCCTAGTACATACAAAGACAAAACTAATTTTGGCAAATCATATAACGTGTAAGAAAATAGAGGGTGGGTGGGCGGGGCTACTGCTACTGCTACTAAATTCAGCCCCGCCCACCTTTTGTCTCCGTTTCACTGTCTTATTTTATTTATTGTAAAATTGAATTCGAAAAATCAAAAAATGAAAAACTGTAAAACTGAAAATTAAAGAAAATGAAAAAAAAACGAAGAATTGTCATATGGAAAATTTAAAATCGAAGAAAAAGAAAAAACGAAAAATCCTAATATCAAAAAGTTCATCGAAGATTATTATTTAAGATTTTCATTTTTTTCCTTCTGTTTATCGATTTGCAATTTTCAAGTTTTCAGGTTTAAAATTTTCAATTCTCCACTTTTTGATTTTTCAATTCTTATATTTTGCAATTTTTAGGTTTTTTATTTTCGTTATTTTTTTCATTTATTCGATTTTTCAGTGTTTCGATTTGTTTTTTTTTTGTTTTTTCAATTTTAATTCTTACAGTTTCTCGTTTCTTCAATTTTTCGATTTGCAATTTTTCAATTTTTCATTTTTAGATTTTTCACTTTTTCGATTTTCAAATTTTTGGATGTTTCAGTTTTCAGATTTGCAATTTTTCTATTTGTAACTTCTCGGGTTTTTAGTTTTTCATTTTTCACTTTTTGGATATATCATTTTTTCGTTTCTTCAATTTTTCGATTTATAATTTTAATTTTTTTATTAGTATTTGCTAAGATAAGACTGATCTTAGCAAATCACATATCCCTAAGAAGATAGAGGACGGGTGGGCGGGCCTAGTACATGCTACGTTAAACTAACTTTGGCAAATCATATACCTTCTAAGAAAATAAAGGGTGGGTGGGCGGCGCTAGTACTTACCAAGATAAGATTGAATAACATAAAACAAGCGGTAGATTTAGAACAAAGTAAAAAGACCCACCTCCCACCCACCCTTATTTCGTTTTAGTCATTCATTCTTATTGGCTTTGAAGAAAGAATTTCACCGGTTTTCAATTTTAATTATTCAATTTTTGGATTTTTCAATTTTAAAATTCTGAAATCGAAAGAAATAATGAAAAAATAAAGGAATTGTAAAAAAGAAAATTGTGATATGAAATCGAGAAAGCGAAAATAAAAAAATCGAGAATACGAAAAACAAAAATCAAGAGCTTGAAAAATTGAGGAAACGAAACTGAAAAAACGAAAAATGGTTGTACAGAAAATTTAAACCCGAAAAAAAGGAAAATGAAAAATTCTAATATCAAAAAATTGATCCAAAGTAAATAAATCGAGATTTTAAAAAAAAATTATGTGATTTTGAGAATTTGATTTTTAACTCCAACCGGTTTTCCAGGATCGCCAATTGAAATATTGCAATTTTTAAAAATTGGTCGAAAGTTGTTTCGCTCCTGAAGTACAATGAAACATATGCAGCATTTTCGAGTTCAATTTTTTCTTTGCACAACGAATGGATTGATAAATCACAAGTAAAAACTCACAATTTGCAGATTTGGGTAGAATTTTTTTTTTTGAGGGAAATAAAGAAATTTACTAGAAAAAACGCAAAATATAAACTCCGCCCACCCACCCTCAACTCAACTGTGCCGACTTGTTTTAATTGTTGTGAGCTGCGGGGTGGAGCTTAATTGCAAACATGTTTTTAAAAGACAACTGTATATGTCAAGAAATAAAACGTCATAAAATAAGCCCCACCCGCTCGCCCCAACCTCAAATGTGATAAAGTTTTCATTCGTTGTCGGACCAAAGGGTGGAGCTTAACTGTAAAATCCCTGTTTTCCGACAAAAATTTACCATTTCAAACGATTTAAATATCTTGACACGAAAACAAGATCATGTGTATTTAGAAAAAACGACAAAATTTAAGCCCCGCCCACCGCCATCTCAATTGTAAATGATTTTTTTATTCGTTGTGAGCCAGAGGGCGGAGCTTAATTGCAAAATCCTTATTTCTCAACAAGAACTTACCATCTGACACATGTTTTTAAGTTTGATGTTGTTGAAAGAAACCTGTATATATTTTATACAGTATGGTTTTTTAAATTGCAATATTAGCATGCATTCTAACTATTTTCAACTATACTATTTTTTGAGAAGTTTTAGGGTACAGTGATCTTATTTAATGATTTTAAAATATTTGAATATCACTCCAAATATTTCGAAAAAATTGCTCTGTGATTCCAAATAGGCTATCTTTTTGGAATCAGCTTACATTTTGACATTTTTCTTAATATACGTAGCCTTCTTGAAACAAACAAAAAACTTAAAACATGTTTAAAATAGTAAATTTTTGTAGGAAAATATACATTTTGCAATTACGTTCCACCTCTCGGTCTAACAATCAATGAAAAATTCATCACAATTGAGATTAGGGCGGGTGGGTGGGGTTTAATTTTTGACTGCAACTTTTACTTAATATATATAGTTTTCTTTGAATAAAACGATTACTTAATAAGGATTTTGGAATAAAACTTTGACTCCCCTGGCTGAAACCGAACAATGAAAAATCGTCACAATTGAGGCAGGGCGGGTGGGCGGGGCTTATGTTTTGCCTTGTTTTTTTCTTCTTAATATACATAGTCTTCTCTTCACAATAAGAAACTGAAAACATGTTTAAACTGGTAAATTTTGTCCCCCACATTTCTCTACAAATTTACTAGAAAATACAAAACCCCGCCCACCCACCCTTGCAGAAAAATTATACATTGACAGTTACCTAATTTAATGCTCAAAACTTCATATTTTAGAATCCAGAAGGACGTTTTGGCTTTTAGTGTAGCGGTAAATGACCCAGTAAAGTCTAGTAAACACCATTAATACTGCAAAATTCGTAACGGCCGAACATTAACAAAATAAATTCGTTCTCCGCTTCAGGTTAAACCAAAAACATTGCCTTCTGCGCTGGTATATTTATTGTCGTGAAAATATCGACACCGGCCATTAAGAGCCTCCTGCATTAGCGCCAAGAGAGTTAACCGAGGATCCGAGTATCTCAATTTGCTTTTTATCGAGCACTATAGACACATATATTACCTCCAAACTACTTTCAGACCATCGAGGATTGGTGGTAACTCCGAAACCTATTTGTAGTGTTGTCTCGGCAAGAAAACCACTATATATTAATTTTTTTAGCGTCCGGTGATCATTTTTAAGTTTGCAGTTTTGTGGAGTAACGAAGTCTACAGCGTCGTAGAAAAATCCTATTCCAAACTTTAATTGGAAAAATCCGCCCCACTGAAATATTTAAAGCCGGAAGGAAAATTAAGACGAAAGTACCGAATCCGAGACGATGCAAAAATAATTAGTGCAGATATTGTGACAAAGCCCGGATCCCTGCCACCAAGTTCTGCCTAAAGCTGTTAAGTAGTGCAGAGTGAAACTACATTAATTAGTAAGAAGAGTCGGAACTTAGCGATCCAAAGTGGGAAGAATTAAATCCCGAGCTTAATAAATACAAGTGTACTCCTACAATCGACCTCTTAAAATCCTCGAGGGAATCGTTGATCAGGAACAGGACAGATCTATTAACTTTTACGATACAGCGAGGCAGCCTTTGATCGGCCAAATAACCAACTATAATGCCAACTTAAAGAAAACCTCTCAAAGTAAAAGTAATCAATTCTAATTTCGGGAATCCAGACTTTTCGAACGGGATAAAAACATGCAAACCGTGAAGGTGGATCCAATTCCACTTTCGATAGACAGAAGCTATTCTTGGCTTTTGATCTGCATTCCGGTTTCATCTTGACGTGCCAAATGGGCTTAATTACGGTCGTCCTCGCACCGTCATCTCGATCGATTTTAATCTAAAGCCGGCTTTTTCGAAATCTGAGAGAACAGAATCGTGTCAAAAGCGCGATATTAACGCACTAGTGCTTTCGTTTCGCTTTGATCGGTATCGACGGCTGCAGTCCGGGAGCTTTCGAGGATCCTACACTACGTGACGGTTAATAGAGTCGTCCTCTTATCCTTTACAGTTAATTGAAACATAAATATTGATTGATCTAATTAGTGCGTGTTTCCGATTGGTATTGCCGTGATTAATGGAACCCTTCGCGTAAAATGCGAAATATAAGAGGGATTTATTTAATATCGAAATGTGTCGAAGCCGACGATTAATTATACGGGCTTGAGTTAGTTCGATTTATTTTCCACATGGCGGTTATAATGACTTGTGGTTGCGAGATTTATTCGAAGGTGGGAA